CTTGATCAGCTCCTGAATATGGGAGTTCTTCCTGATACCGCACGTCGAGCTCTCGTTTAATTTCAAAGGGATTTTGAATAAAGAATGAGCTGTCCTACCACTCATCAGCAAGAGCGAGACAATACCGCTAGACGCCACAGCAATGGTAATTTTTCCCGAGAGTCTGACCTTGGCCAGTACGTTTCGAAGCAGCGTAGTTTTTCCAGTACCACCCGGGCCATCGACAAAAAAAAACTTCTTTCCTTCCTGAGGACAGCCTACCGCTTCAATAATCTGGTCGTAAACTACCCCCTGTCTTTCATTCAGCTGAACTTCTGTGTTTACAATCACCTCCAAAGCTGACGCATCGTATTCTGTGAGCTCACGTCGTAGTAAACCGTTTTGGCGAAGCGCTTCACGAATCAATGTTGGGAACGACCCCAACCGTGGAAGCTCGTCGAAGTCTCCTACCGCATACCCGTTCGCTTCAAGTAGTTCTTGAATGCTCATAAGCGTTTCAAATTCGACCAACGCCGACTTGAAGGGGTCCATCAAAGCCCGATGTTTGCGTCCGAAATCTTGGGAAAGATCAGCGAAACCCCGATCCCATAGAACACCAACATTTGCTGGAGCTGAATACACCAGAATGGTGACGAAGAGCTGGCGTAGTTGATACGGCATTTGGAACTCAGCCACTGCCGCCAAACACGAAATCCACTCGTTGTCATTCTTCAAGTAGCCAGCCTCCCACGCCGCAATTTGGAATGTGGGGCAGACAATTCCGTTAACCGTTCTCAAGTCTTCAAACGACGTTGGGCCTCTACGCTGACAGAGCAGTAGCCGAAGATAGAACCGCTCCATATCTCGAGGAGACACGTGAACCATGCGACCAACCGCAGCTTGATACTGTTTCCGGCGAGCCCGCATTTTCGGCTATCCGGCTTCATTACTATAACCAATCCTGGTGAGAAGCTCAACCGGACGCATATCCGCCAGCTGAAGATGAAACTACTTCCTACCCAGTAGCTCGCGAGCTCCAGTCACCGCTCATTGGCGTTTCCACGGTTCTCGCTGCATCCTCAGTGTCCTACAATTCTAAAAGATCGTGCATCTGGTCTTCGCCGGCGAGGACTACTAGTAGCGTACATCGTCACTCGCACAGCTGTTGTCGTACGTTTGTGAGAAGCTGACCGAGATTTCATTTACGTCTGTTCAAAGTCCCCCTTCCCGAATTTGGACCAGAACTCCAATCCGGGATATCCGCTCTATTTTGCGTGCACTACGTGCGAATAGAGATTGATGTTCATCTAGCACTGGCTGGCCTATCCATCGCAGCGCTATGTAGTACCTGTGATGTTATCTTAAACAATACACCCTGGCGTTGATGCCGAGAATTACCCGAATATTACTTCGTCGAGCGAGCCACATAGCCCCAGCATAGGAAAGTGTTCGGCAAATCAGCGATATGGTTGTTGAGCGACTGTCTGGTAAAACGAAGTAAAACCTTTCGGTGATCAGAATCGAAGGAGTTGCGCATGCAAATATATTTAAGCAGGAAATCTGTAACTCTTTTAACTTCTCCGGTACCCCTCCTCGGCACCGGATTGTTCTGAAGATTTGGGCATATCGTCAAAATTTAAAACTGAATAGCGACGCGGAGCTTTGCAGCGGAGCGCGACTTTGGGTTGTGTCGCTGCGCGAGTGGGGCATCGAGACAGCATTGCGTCTGGGCCGTTTAAGGGTAAGACGGGGCTCATTCCTTGAATCGTTATAGTGATGAGGATAACTAGGCGTTCCCGTTCAAACTTAAGTATAAGTAGCCCGGCGGTTCCAGCGCTTGCCATGACGATCAACAAGTTTAAAAAAAAACTGATCCGCCACGTGGGTATCTTACTTGGAATCACCACTGCTCGCACATAGACAGCTATATTTGGCGTTGTCGAGAGTGACTTTAAGGAAGCCGATCAAGATTGCTGTGGATCCAGATATCATTGATGAAAACGTACACACCAAGCATATTGTGCTCAGAGGGGTCTTTAGGACGCAAAATTGGAGGATTATGTAGTACGAATAATGGATTTAGCTTTGATTTCGGTATCCTTTTTTAATCCGCTCATAGCGCTAGTCCTAACCGCTTCAAACCAGCTGATTATTCAAAGTCTTAAAATGCATATGCAGGTTAGTTTGACTTAGTGTTTGACTACTTTTGTTTGCTACAGAGGTGGACGACAAATCGTACGGAGAAATAGCCAGTGCAAAATACATATTAACCGGTATATTTAGCACCGATCTCACTGATCTAACACGCTCTATTCATGATATTAGTCAAGTTTGCCGCTTTTGCGTCATTTGGTTCACTGCGATCATATCGCGCACCTTCTTCCCATTGGTCCAAAATGTTTTTTTTGCAGTTGCAGGTCCAAGCTATCATAGATAATATCTGCGGCCAGAGATTCATTCGCCCAGAGACGGACAAGGCCGACGCCACAAAGAAGAAGCGCAAGAGCACCAAGTGCACGTAGGCCACAAGGCGCTCAACACCCCACAGTACGTATGTCTCGCGCTCTTTCCCTCGCTCTATCTAGCGCGGTGATCAGCATCCTCATTTGCCTAAGTGGCTGCTGATTGAGCTTGATCCCAAGAAACGTGACTTTAAGAAACCAGCTCTGGGGACAGCAATCAACGAAGCATGAAATTAGACTCAGTCAGATGAACTAAGCTAGAGCTTGCGCTTTTTTTTTAAACATAACCAATTTTTGTGTTGATTTCTGTTTTTTTTACAGCTGAGCTACACTGCTTTATACACGAAAGGTCTCGAAGGCTTGCTAGCATTCGACAAGGTGACACACGCGCTGCTGGTGACGAAGGCGAAGGAGGCGTCTCTCGTGTGGTCATCTGGCATCACCTGTCAGAGGGGATACACTCGACGTGCTCTCTCTTTGGCTGCTAGGAGAACCGGCCACACCTTGGTCAGCTTCAAAGGCCATCATGCCCTCCGCGTCGGCCATGTTCTCCTTCCCCGCAAAATGGAGTGTGGTGTATTTAACACAGTTTACCTTTGGTAATATATACATCATGTAATTATAAAGACTTACGTTATTGCGTGCGCGTTCAAACAAAGAACCGAGCGCGGCAATTTCGAGTAGAACGCAAAATAACGTTGGGTTAAAGATGCCGACTTCGCGTCGTATGTCCGGGTGCATCTAGAAGAGGCATTAATTCTACAAAAACTATCATGTAAGTTTTGAATAATATATGGAAGCATACAAACTCGCCTACATTTTAAGGTGCGTGTGTTGCAATCAGAAGTTGCGTGATTTTGGGTATTTAGAAGCCACGTCAATAATACATGTGAATGCGTACACCTGCTTATGATCCGACAAATTGAGCACGGTCATTGCGCTTCAAGGGAGCATTGTTGAGCTATGGTCGCTCTAAGTCACAGATACTCGACAGGTGCAACTCACCCTAGGAGGTCACAGCTCAACACCCAGAATGAACTAATGCATATGCGACTTACGTTATTCTACATAAGTCACTGTTAGTGTGACGGAGAGCCGCGACAGCCTCTTGGTTGTTCAGTGTGAGAATTTACCCTTGGGTGTATTAATTCTCTCATTTCTGAGTGAAGAATCAGTTGTAATTGGAGAATCAGGTGATTCTCAGTAAAATGTGTGTGTGTGTGGGGGGGTACAATACGGTGTACCCGTGCTACATGATGAGTGACCGACCACTCTTGCGGATACCTGGTACACGGCAACAGGGCTCTCGGAGCCAAAGTGCATAACTACATAAATCCACTATTTGCGATATCTAGTTTGTATGGTACCAAACTAATTTACTTATAGAAACATCAGTCTTACATCTACTCGTCTAAGTAGCAAACCGCTTTCACTAAGACCTAGAACACGTGAGCTAACGCTCACCTGGGTAGTAAACACCCTTAACCACTTCCTCTGTGCAAGGTGCTATGTGATCCCGTCACAGGATGTGTGGCATTCAAAGGCTATGCAAGCAGGCAGCAATACACCCTTTCGCCTTCAAAATGGCGACTTCGTAGTTCAAGATTACAAAATGTAGTCTGAAAATCGATCAAAAGCAATTCAAACAGCTCAGGGAATATGACAGTTGGTTAGATAGTACAGGTCTTGATCAATAAACACTTTGCGCGATAATTACCGTCTCGTTTGCCGTCTTTATTGGGCTGCTGCATTCACCCACCATCATTACGACTAGCGGAGGTGCCACGACTTTTGCCTGTCACCCATGGTGAACAATTGACGGCGTTAATGGCGCGATGCTCCAATCCAACAAGTGAAATCAAAGCGTTGGCCCCTTCTTTTCACCATGACAGTTTAATTTTACATTTTGCCACATTGAACTACGAATTTGTCATTTTGAAGGTAAAAAGATATAGGAGTAGCTTGGTTGATAGGAAAGCAACGCACCAACACCCCTTCCCCGTTTCAGCAAGTCTGGGATTGAGAGGGAAACCTCGAAGGCGGCAACACCCTTTGATCAAGGACAAGTATACACTAACTACCGTTTAATAAGGTGCAACCAATTATTCCGGCTTACAAAGCGCAGCTAAACCAGTATACACGATTTTTGTCGCAGCAATAGTTTGGGGGTATGCAGCTGTTAACCCCTTGAACCCGAAGGCTTTTCGCTCCCCCCACCGACCGAATTAACGTGTATAGCTGGGGTAAGGGTAAACATACTGAAATGAAGTTTTAACGGTATCTTGTATGATTGTGTCTTTTGGAAAGACACAAAATATACCTACCCTCTAAGAACTGACTCGCATACAAACGTGTATATTCACGATATTGATCCTGGAAATCTATTTTATCATCTATCTTGTATGGGATAAGTAATAGACACGTGGCTAGCACACGCCAAAGCCAGAATCGTCCCATAAATAGCTTGATGGCTAGAGCTGTATAAAAACGCCAGTAGAAAGTACAAATAAGAGTATACAGAAATCAAGAGAAGTATAAGGACGCAACAAAGGTTTAATCCTACGTCTCGGACGCACGCGCACGTTTTGACTGAGGTGAGATATCTACGTCGCTGGGCACCTCGGCTCCCACTTCACACACTTCCGCGTTCAGTGACTCCTTCGCCGGCACACGCGCACGGATGTTCGTCTTCCAAACCATCTTCGGTAGAAGGGTGCGATTACGCCAGGCTTTATGCCAAATCTCGAAGTAAGACATGAGAGCACCATTGTGTCGGTGCCGAACCTTATCGCACAGGAACACGTGCAACGCCTTTGGCTTCTTGGACAGCGTCGTCAGTTTACAGTCGCTGCAATAGATAGAAGAGTCCCCGCCGTGCGCACCATCGGTGCCTTTCAAAAGAGAGCACACCGTACAGGAAGTGTAGGACCGTATTCACCATTATAAGGCCTAGGATAGAGTTCCAGCATAGAAGAAGCTGGGCGTTGCTCATATCGCGTCATCAGATAGTCATTAGGGGTCCTCTTGGACAGCGAATTCCATCCAGTCTTTGCCATGTTCTTTAGAAGTTCACTGGGTATATTGCCCGAAGACACAGCCTCAATACCACCTACAGTTCTCAGGCGACTGGGTCAAATGATATCTCAGACCGGGTAGACCATCGTCATCAAGCCCAATCAAAATTTCACTGTCCCAAGTCAATTCTTCCGAGCCCCATCCTGTTCCCTCGTCATTATCTCCATCCGAATCGAGCGATGCGCAAGCAGAACGGCTGATAGCCAACACCGACTCACCTCGGCGATCTACTAAGCCCATATAACAGTACATACAGGTTAGACAGAGCGGATAACTTGTACATACGTGTTTGTCCAACCTGGTTCATAACTCGCTGTATCTTCCTTTGTTTCTTCGTCCATCTGGGTAGCACGAAATGATTCGGGAGAGCAACTTTCAGCAGTATTCAAAACTGAGGTTTTCACGAAGGTTTGACTCAGGTTACGTTGTCCCTACACTACGATCAGAAATACAAGTTAGTATACCATTCTTATGTTGTACATGTATGTAGAGGAGCTTACGGCTGTTGACACTGTCGTCGTCGGAGCTGATGACTTCGTCAACACAGGACGTATCATGAGAAGAGACACATATAAAAAACAATCGACTGAGGGCCCGGTAGCTCATAAGAATTATTCGCAGCTACTGGCGTTTCTGCGATGTCGCCTGATGTATTTTCTGCCCCACATACATCATAAACAGGTTTGTATAATGCACAAACGTGTATGTACATCTTGTTGGTCAAACCTCCGTCTAAACGTGCCACGTCTTCTTGAAGACATATGCTCGGCATCGGTCGATGTTGCTTGCTGCTGATTACCACTGAATATGTATTGTCAGATTTTTTTTTTTTCTTTTGAACAAAAATGCAGCACACTACCTTGGTTTTCGGGTCGTGTGGTTGCGTTTGTAGGCCGGCCCCGCCTATCAGATTTCTTTGCCTGAAGTGCCGCTACATATCCACATGTGTAACGAATGTCTAGCAGAATTACAGTTAGTTTCACAAGTCCTACCGAGGTCAGCCTTGTCGAGAAACCGCATTAGTTCCTCTTCTCCGAAAAACTAGTCCTCCCCACGCTTGTCTTTCTTGGTCTTCCCAGGTTTCAGGTACGCGAAGTCGACTGACAATCCGGTAGGCTTCTTGCAAACCATCTGGCCTTCGTAAGTTCTTTCCGTCGTGCTTGGAAAGCCATTGTGTGCCGCAGCACCGAGACTAGTGCCCTTTGCAGCGAATCTTAAACTGACAGCAAAAATCAGTGGTGCTCAGTAACGTCATGGTCATATTGCATATGCGTTGTGTGAGTTTGATTTGCTACGCGCTTTCTTGCCTTTTTAATCGTATTATTTTTGTCGAACTACTGGGGTTCAAGGATACATTACCTACCCCTCGTTCACTTGGAAACTGTAAAGACGCTTACAAAAACCAAGTATAGCAATCCTTATCGTGGGCCGTATACGTTAAGATTTGATGGTAGCGTGTACGGTCCAGGGTCTCGGGTTTGAGTAATTAAAACGCTCTATTTTTTAGTACAGAGAAAAACGAGCCTCAGGAAGCATCTCCGAAGAGGATGCCATAATTTTATTTTTTAATTTTTTTCTGATAAGCTTTTCTCCTAATACTTATATAAAACAAGTCAGCACCTCTATGTACGAGTCAATGAACAGCTTATACCCTATCTTACCGTCTGATCTGTCAGTCCGTCCGAGGCTAGGGTTAATAAACTCACGCTAATGCGGCCGTTCTACTGGCTGCGAGCGCAGTGAAGGCGGCCCTAACTGGCTAAAATTAACATTATGAGTTGCACATATTGTATGTGGACTACACATCGTACTTAAAAGCACTGTTCAAATTTCATTTTGCCCCCATTTTTAAAACAGAAGCCGCAGAGCGCCACGCTACTCAAGGTACGCTGCGTGTATGCATGTTAGCTAACATTAGTAGTCATCAAGACACACATACACAGATAGTTCGAGGTTCCTGGGGCTGCTTAGGGGGTAGCTTATAACTTGCGGGATTTTATCCTGCAAGTATGTGGCCGTGCTATGGGGATTCAGTTCCAGAGCTCTCTGGGTTCTTGGGGCTTTATCCCACCGCCCACTCTGCGCGAGAGCACATTTGGTACCTGGTCCATTGACCGCAAACCCGACAGCGAACCAGTTGAGCCGGTCGTTAATGGTTATTGATGGGCACGCACATTGCGTGCGTGCAGTTGGTCAAGAGGGTTACCGTAACTGGCCTCTTTTAACCGACAGATGGGATGGGGGCTGTAATAGCCTATCAATGACCAGCCTTTGCAATTAACGGCCGCCTTTTGGCAAAAGGATATCGCACCTCAAGCTACAGTACTATCCGGGGGCCCAACCGTAAAGATTCGACTGCACAATTCACAAACTTAAACCGCTCCGAGCCTTACGGCCCGTGACTGTGGGATAAGTGATAGGAGATAACCTTGATGGGAGGCAAGCAATCCCGGGTGGTACGCAGATGGCCAACGTCCTACTGTATGAAAACCTATTACTACATGTCGTGTACTTTGACTGTGTCTAACGCGTCAAGCTTTCGTGCTCGCAGAACTATCGCTCGGACTAAACGAAAGAGGACGCGCGAGGAGCTCGAGGACGCCCTACGCGAGAACGAACGCATTAACGCGACACCCATGCAAGAGGAGAAGGACGCACGGAAACGACGTTTGAACAAGCGCAGAAGGAAGCGCTACGACATAAACAAAGCGCTGCAGGCCCTCAGCGCTCACCAAGATGTGACAGAGGCTATGGAGGTTACGGAAGACCGAACAGTATCTTGGAAGAGCGGGGGGGGGAGACAGAAGCGTCTGATCCAGCGGTACACCAGCGCCGTTTTGCAGCTGAAATGGAGGCGGCGTATCAAGCCGGAACCGAGGATATGGCAATATTTACAGCGCCTGTCGTATCTGAGCTAACGGTTTAAGATAAGGCCCATGTCTCGGCTGCGCAGCGGGCTCGGGAAAAAGAGCTAGCAGGACGTTGTCTCAGGCAGATCGTGAGCGTACACGCGACGCACAGAGAGCTTGCACGAGACGAGCTAATATGTCGCTCTCTCACCGTGACTAAACGAGGAAGAAAGACGCTGAGCGCAAACGCGCCCGGAGAGCTCAGTTACGCGGTGACGAGCTTCACGAGCAGCGGGAGCGGGATAGACAGCAGCAAAAAGCAAACAGAGCTGAGCTGAGTGAACCAGACCGGGAACCCGTACGCTGTCTAGACCGCCTGCAACATGCGAGTCGACGGGCACAGATGTCGGGACAGCAACAGGAACAGGCACGCGAGCTCAACCGTCAGCAACATGCGCATTGGGGAGCAAACCTGTCGGACCAGCACATGGTGGCTGAACGCGAGCTGGACCGACAACGGCATGCTCATCGACGAGCGGAGCAGACAGAAGACGAGCGCCAGTACGAGCTCGAGCGGGTGCGCACTCGACGACAATGTGTCTGTCATGGGCATGCTCTTATTTCCCTCGAAGACCTCGACGCATCAAAGATTACGGGCTACGACGTGTTCAATGGTCGATACAAGCTCCAGGCTACAACGGTTTGTCCGATCTGCAATGCTTGGAAGTGGCCTGGGGAGTCTGCGATATCATGCTGTCTGGTAGGCAGGGTAAAGCTGCCTCCACTGCACCCCGCGCCACCAAAATGGCTTCAGCTGTACGGAGATCCCGAGTTTCGCCGTCAAATCCGTGCCTACAACCAAGCTTTTGCATTTACATCGATTGGTGCTTCGTGCTCAAACCGATCGTTTCAAAATGTACATCAAGGCGAAAGCGTTGCGGCTATACACGGCGTGTACACATATCGCATTCAAGGGGCTATGGGGCACTACCCAGGGTCTCTCCTCCCCCACATAGACCGTCGGACAGGCGCGCGGGTAGCTCCAATGTTTGCACAGATCTACCTGTGGATCCAGACATGCAACGCCGCGCGGAGCGACGTCTTGGTATATTCGCGGATCTGGATCGTGTTGCACTACTAGACATCGAGAAAATGATGGCAGAGCACAACCCATTGGCGCATCGGTTCCTCCACTTTGGGCAGCAAGTGCGTCAACACGACACGGAGGCTCCAGTATACTTGGTGTTCCGTCTGCATGACAACTCCGCGCGACCGCGGACTCATAACCGCCCCACTGTGTCTGAAGTGGCTGCGACTCGCATTGAGGATGGCAACCTGGCTCAGCCTCGGGATCTACTACTCTTTGCACGCGATCAAAGACTGCTACGTTTGTACGAGACTCACGCCGATTACGATCCACTCCCATACCCGCTTCTCCTTCCATATGGAGAGAAGGGATGGACCTACACAGACGAGTTCGCGGGTGGTGCTGAGTATCGAAACAAGAAGGCGATGTCGCTTCGTGAGCACGTCGTGTTCCGTCTCCACCAGAAAGTGGATGATCAGTCCGCTCTCCACCAAGGTGGGCGTCTATTTCAGCAGTGGTGTGTAGATCAGCGTGCAAAATGTGAGCAAGAACAGCTTCGCTGGGTGGCCGACAATAAAAAAAACTACGCGCCGTTCAATACAGGGGTGTTCAATATGCTTTGCTCAACGAAGATACATTGGCTCTGGCGGAAGGAGAAGTACTGCTGTCGGAATACGACCGAGACCAGAACAGATTGATGCACCCTGACCGAGATCGAGGCAGCAGAGGACGACCTACCCACTTTCTTAATCAGGTTGACAAGCGTATCATACTACCGGCTTCGCACCTGGGTAGCCCGCGGTCCATGTACAAGTCGTATCAAGATTCGATGGCAATTGTTCGGGGGTATGGACGACCCGACGTCTTCCTGACTGAAACGTGCAACCCCAAGCGGGACGAGATTCTTGAAGCGATACCACCCGATATCCAGACGGCTCAAGATTGACCAGATATCGTGGCTCTCGTTTGGCAGCAGAAACGGCAAGTGACGCTTGACTATTTAAACCAAGGCGTCCTGGGGCGTGTGCGCGCGCGAATTTACTTTGTCGAATTTCAAAAACGAGGTCTCCCCCACGCTCAAGTATTGATTATTTTGCCTGACGAAGACAAACCTCGAACGCGCGAGATCGTAGACAAGATGGTATGCACTAAGATCCCAGATAACGATAAAAACCCTCAGCTGTATGAGACGGTCATGTCATGCATGCTCCATGGTCCATGCGGGCCTGCAAGCCCTTCCTGCGCGTGTATGAAGGACGGCAAGTGCATCAAAGGGTATCCGAAGCCCTTAGCAGAAGTTACACAAGACAATGCCAATGGATATCCAGTGTACAGACGACGTCGACGGCAAGAAGGTGTTCTAAAGTTCAA